CGACTCAGTGAAAACAATTTGGACCTGGTCCTGAACTCGAACCAGAAGAAGGCTCCATTGGACCAAACGGCAGAGTACTACTCCGGTGCCCAAGCAGTCAAGGACGTACTCAAGTCGATCCTTGTCGCCGAAGCGACCAAAGTCCCCAAGGTCACCGCGCACTATGCCGACTATTTGCTTGACCCGAGCGGAGATCATTTTCTGCACGTCGCCACTGGCCGCATCACGGCCGAACTGCTCGATTCAGATGCTCTCTTTGGCTCATGTGTGTCCCAGGTCCCGTACCTTGGGTACCAGCGTTGGATGGACTCGGTCAACATGAACAACCCGGAGAGGTCGGCCCAGCGCGCGATGTGGCTGGGCTTGGGAGCTGGTATTCTAAGCCAGTATTCGCGCGAGACATGGTCGGACCATTCGATGTCCCTGGGCCGAACGTACACGGGGTCGTTATTGACGAAGGTTACCCCTTGTGCATTCTAATGTGCTCTGGTGCAGTCCCTGTCCTTCTAAAGGAATGAAATCGGTCAACCTAGTGAACATTGTGGAAAGTTTTGCAAGTGTAAACCAACTAAAGACATGTATGTGTCCAAGCGCTAAAGTACTCGAATCGCTCGTGCTTTTGCGTGAGGGGGGAGCAGTGGGGGGCAATGTAGCTGTTTGTTTGAGTAGTCCATCGCGATACTGCCGACCCGAGCTGATTCTCGCGGAACCAGTTTGATGTGGAGCGCATTATGCCGATGCATTCGCTTGAAGCATGCTCCGTTGCAATATGCCTGGACTCGCGGGGTCGGGGTTTCGAGGTTTCGGGGTTTCGGGGTTGCAATCCTCAGTCATTGCTGACGTGGTCATGCAAGCAGTAGATACTGTATCAAACAGATTTATATTTGTATTCTGTATTTTTCCTTTAATAAAGGTTTAAAATAGCATATATGTATTAGTTGTAGCATTTCACAACGTTGGGTTGAACAAAGATGATGCAGCCAGGTAACGCTGGTCGCTGCCAAACTTTGTCGCTTCCAAAGGATGTTGCGGCGTGTCCAGACGTTAAGAGCGAGCATTAGATGGCACGTTGTCGGTCCCCGCTCCACGGCATCGAGTATCTCATGCGCTAACATGCCAACGACCCCACGCATGTTCGTTCGATCGTTCGCGATGAAGATCTCGTTCTTCTCAGCGCGAAAGTACGACAAGGACTCGATCCTCCAAGTACACAACGCCCTGGGGCTGAACCACAACCTGCAGTACGTCCAACAGCTTGTCCTTCCCTCCCATCGCAAACTTGACAACCTGCAGGTTCTTTTCCCATCGCTTGAAACCCGAGACTGCTTTGTTAGCCGACGGCAGTGACGTCGTCGTGATCTTCGTCAACGACTTGGCCAACGAGTCGGTGATTCGCAAGGTACGTCCTTGGAGTAGAGACGCGCGTACTTGTACCCCACTCTCAACGTTTCGGTGATCAGCTCGCGGCGCTTCATGTGAAGGCACTGCTCCTTCGCTGCGCCGGCTACGACATGGTGGATCTCGTGACCGCCAAGGAGGTTGGCCTTCCCGTGCTGCGCGTACCAGCGTATTCGCCGTATGCTGTTGCCGAGCACGCGGTTGGTTTGATGATGACCTTGAATCGAAAGTACCATCGTGCGTACAACCGCACCCGCGAATTCAATTTCAATCTCCAGGGTACGCGTCATGTTACGTGAGGACACTCCAAACACGAGCGATGCACAGGGCTTCTCGGCTTTGACATGCACGGCAAGACTGTGGGCGTGATCGGGACGGGCAAAATCGGGATCCTCGTTGGCAAGATATGCCTCGGTTTCGGCTGCAACGTCGTCGTGTATGACTTGAACGAGAGCAGCCGAGCCAAGGCGCTCGGGATGAAGTACGTGCCGCTCGACCACCTCCTCGAAACATCCGACATTATTTCGTTGCACTGTCCGCTGCTACCGACGACCAAGTACATCGTCAACGAGTACACGATTCGCCAGATGAAGCGAGGTGCGCACCCCGACAAAACAAATCGATGGTCGCTCCAAACGGAGGGCTGGTAGGTGTGATGCTGATCAACACGAGCCGTGGTGGGCTCATGAACACGCCAGCGATCCTTCAAGGCCTCAAGACTGGTCAAATTGGATCGCTTGCCCTCGACGTGTTTGAAGGTCGGGACTGAGGACGCGCTTGACCTGTCTGGTGTTTGATGCTTTAACGTGACTGGCTGGCGCAGGTGAAAACGACATCTTTTACGAAGATCACTCGGGCGAGATCATCGCAGACGAGCAGTTCACCCAGCTGTCGACGTACCCGAACGTGGTTATCACTGGCCACCAAGCATACTTCACCCGAGAAGCGCTCGACAACATCGCCAAGACAACGTTTGACAACGTCCGAGCCGTCGAGACCAACGGACCGTTCCTGAACCAAGTTCAAAAGTAGACGCAACCACGAGCGAGTCCGCTGCAAGCAGCTGCGCATTTGGTGAAGGAATTCGCAGTTCATGTTAAGATTGGATTGGTACAACGTGAGAATTGTTTGTGCGGTATCGTCTGGTGCATGAATGAATGAAGACGTCTCAAGCCGTCGGCTTAAAACGCACAACGCGTCGTTTTTGTCACCAGCGACCCCATGTACGTGCGCCCTAGCGCAACCGCATGGTCTGACCATGTCTCGCGCGGGTACTGGCTGAGGATGCCAGCCCCAAGACCCAGCCACATCGCGCGCTGGGCCGAGTTCTCTGGGTCAACCATATTCACAGCATCCAGCCAATGTTGGTACCCAAAGTACGGGACCTGGGACACGCATGAGCTGAAGAGGGCATCCGCATTGAGCAGTTCGGCCGTGATGCGGCCAGTGGCGACGTGGAGGACGTGATCTCCGCTCGAATCGATGAGGTAGTTTGAGTAATGCACGGTGACCTTGGGGACTTTGGTCGCTTCGGCGACAAGGATCGATTTGAGTACGTCCTTGACTGCTTGGGCACCGGAGTAGTACTCTGCCGTTTGGTCCA